CGCTAACTCAAAGCTACCACTCTGCCTACATGCCAAAATCCAACAGTCCCTCTCAAAAACGCTGAGGAGCCTCCTGATGTACTTACAGGGTTTTGCAGCCTGCTGCCCTGTGCTTCTCTCTTTTGAGTGAAAGTGTTCAGCATCCTATCTCGGGGTCCCCGTTTCTCCAGCTGAATGGAAATGAAAGCTCCTGGAGGCCTAATGACGGAAAAAAAGCGTGAGAGCTGAGAAGAGTCACCTCTCCAAAGGTAAACTGATAGCCTCCTTCTGAACCACTCAAATAACTTCTTTAGATTAGACACAGCTTCTCCAACAACATTCATTTTACTCATTCCTTATATATAACAGGTACAAATACACTGGATCTTATGGATCAGCTACCAGAGATGAGATGAGCTCTGGGGAAAGTCTCACAGTCTGCCTATTTTTCATTGCAGCACAAGTGAAGTAAATAGTGAAAGAAATAGTGACAAAATAAAAAAAAAAAAATTACCTCCTTATACTGGCATTAAGGCAGTAACAGGAACTGTGAGGCTGCCTGGACTACACTGGACATGCTGAATGCCTTTTTATTTATACCTTCAAACCACAGGTTGTTAAATTAACACAGAGTTTTCAGTGCTTGCCTTCCAGCTGATCAGCACTGAATAATATAAAAAAATTGCTCTGTGTCTTGCCGGTACCCTGTTAGTACACAGTACCCCATGTAAAAGCCAGGAAATCGGGCCGAGGAGCTAGTAAGCGGGCACACAAGCACCAAGACCAAGCTCTGTTCTACAGGAGGAGCGAAGTCATATTTAATGGCCTTATCCTGGCCCACTTATTGTTTGCCATAAGTTTGCAATGTTTTCAACTGTTAGCTCACTGATGCTTAGAAATTCCTATGAGGTATCTGGATTTCCTCCTTTAATTAACAGGTTATCTCCATGGGGTCTGATGTGAAGCCAGAGTCCCATCAACAGGGTATGGCGAGACAACCGTACCGCTCAGACCACCAATTCACACCAAGAAACAGGGCATCTGGGAATGTGTCCTTACGGTCGAGAGCCCATTGCTATGTTTTTTCATGGCGGAGGCCCAGCACAATCTAAAGCAGGTAGTGCTTGGGGTTCACATGTGTGCCAGACTGACCCCTACCCAGTGGAGGGGGCTTGGCCAGTCTGTAACAAATACCTTTTAATGGTACAGAGTAAACCTGGAGAACACCCAGGAGAAAACGAAATGGACGGTGTGGTTGCTTGCAGCAGCAGATCCTCTGTTTCACTCCCAGACGCTGAATTTCTTCCACTTGCTGAACTGCTCCGACTTGTTAGACTTAGATTTCCTTCCTAAAATATCATGAATATCAATTCTGTGCTTGCTCTCATAAAGACCGGCAGCTCTTCCTACTAAATCAATGCAGATTTGCAATTCTGTATGCTCTCATTTACCCTAGCTTTATGATATAATAATTCACTGGGGTCATTGAAAGTCACAGAAAAAGAACATTTCTCATTGAGCACAGGCATAATGAAACTGTAGCAGCAGCAGAGTCAGAGGCAGTACCCGATTTATAAACCAGACAACATTCTTGACAATCAATCAACTGCAAATAAAATATGAATATTCCCAGATATTCACATTTTCAAATATGTACAAATAATTGTATATCTAGACCACTTGTCTGGAAAATCAGTTTGCCTCCCCACAAACACAAAAAACTATACTCATCCCCCCACACCACCTACTTAAGTCCCAGTGGCTCCTGGTATGAAGGAAACTCAGAAATTTCTGCATATTTATATAAAAATAATCCTAATTTTCAAGTAGGAACAAGTGGTACTTTTCCAAGTTCTTGAAGTCGTATTTCAAAAGTGGCACAGGCACTCTGAAGTCCAGGGAAGCTAAAATAGCACACTAATTCCCTTGCAAATCAAGGAGAGCTATTGTCTTTTGCGTATGGTGGGAAAGGGAAAGACCAAAGTGGGAAAAAAAAAGCCATATTCTGAGAGTTGAGTTCCTTCTCCTAACTAAGTACAAGCTTAGCTTGGGTTAGTGCCAGCTTGCAGACGGATCTACTAAAGAACACCTTTGCTCTGTTATAGTAGAAAATGGACTTATTGCCCAGAGAACAATTCTTCCTGCTTGGCTGAGCACGGGAAACATACAACAGGTATTAAAAAACCAGCGGTCAGCAGCTGCCTTAGAAGTAAATGGGCAGAACACGAGCAGTGTCTTTGTTCCTGAGAAATATTTCAGCCTATAAACAAAGCCGGTATAGAAATGTTGGGCACTGAGTTTACAAATACATGGGAGTTTGCCATTCTGAAGGTCCTAGTCCAGTATCAAACAGGCTGGTCTGCATGAGGGCTTATTGCATGGTGAGACTGGGTGGGTTAAGCCTGTGCCCTTCGTGGCACAGCCCATGGGTCTTGGCTATCAACCAACCAGACCGTGGCAGGTGTTGCAGAGCGCACAGCTCCCTTGGCATCACGCAACCAGGTCTCCTTCACATGGGCTGAAGGGAGATGCCACGGGCCCTGGCCTGTGTCAGGTGGGCAACCATACCACTCACAGCACTGGTGGGTCCCTCGGTGCAGACACAGCCTGTAACATCCTGCAACCATCTCCCTTTCCTATGTAAGGAGGTTATACAAGATTTTTTTCCAGTTTTACATGTTAATCTCGAATAACAGATGCATGACCTCCTTATCACTGCCTCTGTTGGTCGTATTAATTGTCCTCTGTGTGTGTTTGATTAGTTAGCTCATACCCGCTGACTGTAAATCAGCAAAACCTGAGCCAGAATGGACCCCCCAGCCGTTAAATGATTTACAGAGGAGAGAAGACATCTGAAAACAAAAAATACAGTTGCTGCCATTCTGTGGAAAAGAAACCATTCAGTATTTAGACAGTAAAAGGTCTCCAAATGTTTGGAAGATCAATCCTTTTCAACTGGGGGATGAAGAGCTATTTCCAGAGTAAGACTACTCATGGTTATCAGCAGAGACACACAACATCAGCGCTTTGTATGGCAGCACGGAGGATCGATTTGGGAAAGAAACCAAGGTTGCTCAGTTCCACTGAGGATTTCGGTGCTGCAGGATCTGATTAGAAATGAAGATGCGCAATCTCAGACTTCTCCGTGAGAAGGAATGGAAACCAGCCTCTGGGACGAACTAGACCACAGCCAGCCCTGGGAGGCTGCACAGCTGGCCATCCAGCTGCCAAACACCTGGGTGCCCACCAAGTGGCTGCAGAGTGCAGCAGCTCCCTGGGACACAGCCCATGTGCTGCCAAAAGTTGCATGAGATCAGTGGTGTGAGGGGTTCCTGCTCAGCAGCAAGCAGGCGTCTCTGACCATACGATACTAAGCTTTTTTCTGGTGGGCTGTCAGGATATCAGTTTGTTTGGGTCAGTGGGTCTCAGCTGTGCGGTGCAGAATCACTGTCGTGCTGGGACAGGATGCAAACCATGCAGTGGTGAAACAAATTTGTACTCATGCAGTTGACAGTCTCTGGGGTGAGTCTTGGCCCTAGAACCTCTCTTACATTCACCTCTGGTGTAAGGAAATAAAATGTACAGGACACTGCTCTAGGAACGGCAATTCATGCTCAGAAGCTTGCAAGTCACAGCTGCATGAGACGTCTTTCCCTCCCCTCCGCACGCTGCAGCTCTGAGTGACCCAAAATGAGACAATGGGGAGTCATGATAATGTCTATTTTTCATTTTTAAACTCAGAAAAAAACTTGTGTCACACAGGAAATGTTTTAGCCTCATTCCCTTAGCTGGTTCAACCCATCTCTAACAACTTTTGAACCCTCTGACTAATTTTAAATACATTTGACATAAGAACAGAGATCTCAAGGGTATAAAGCTCCTTCCAGATTTGCAAAATCAGCATTCAGCTAGTGAGGAGAACGCCCTGCTCAAAGAAAAGGCTAAGAAAGTTTGATCCCTAGCCATTTTGCTTGGCTTGCTCAGCTCCCAGGAGGCAGCGGCCAGCTGGGCTCCCAGCATGACAGCCAGGCAGTCAGCGTGTGCACGGCTACAAACCTGCCACAAAACACAGTGCGTCTTGCCCAGGTAAAAAGCAAAACACGGGCACTTCCCAGACACAGGAATGACCTGAGGATACTGCCTGGTGGCAAGGGACTCAGCATGGGGAGCACTGGGGATGCAAGAGGGGGCTGAGGCAGGATGGATGGCGTCTCCTAAGGAACATGGAATGAGATGTCAATATAAGCACAGAGAAGGCAAGACAAGCTCTAAAGCATCTCTATTTGCTTATGAATTCAAAATTGCATATGAGGTCACTTAGCTCATCGCTGTAACACAGCTGTCTCTGGAAGAGGCACAACAGCTGTGTAAGAAAATGCAACACAGAGCCCTACAACAATTTAGCATGTATGAAGCAAGGGCAGCTCCTGAGCACCATATATTAAACACAGGATGAAAAAAAAAAAAAAAGCCAAATAGGAGCAGTAATGGCTCGGTGGCCCTGGCAGGTAGCTTTTGAACCAACATTACAGCATCAGGCTGACATGAATGTTTCCCATTGCAAATAGTGTTGACCATACTTCTGTTTTCAGAAGACAGGACAAATGAAAGCAGCAGGAACTGATGGTTTCGCCATCCCAGAAGAATGCATATTTCAAGGTCAGGTTGTGATTGCTAGCCTTTCTGCGTACCACAGGCTATAAGATTTGACCCATGCCTTTTGAATCCAATTCGTCTCCAACCTCTTTCAGTCCTCTCTTGAGGTATATTTTTAGCTATGCTTCATCACTTACCCAACTAATAGACTTTAAATAAATCACTGATGTGACACCATTTATTTTTATGTCATATGCTAATACACAATCACTGCGGTTCCTGCAGTCATCAGTGATGCTGTTCCAAGTGTTGCGCAGGACTGCCATCCAATTGATTATAAGCAGAATTAACAGATACCCTCTGTGGGCTAAGTCTGACAAAACCCATCATTACCAGTGCAATGTGAGAAAGAAGATGCTGCTAACCTTCACATCCAGGGTATGGGGAGGCTGGATCAAGTAACAAAAGGAGGCTTGCTGAACAGCCACCAAAAGGGCATTTTTCTGAATGACCTGACAGGCCAGGATAAGTTGCGTGTTCTGTATTCCAGATGGACACAAGAGCTAAGGAGAGGGAAAACAACACGTTAGGCATTTCCTTCGCCATTTAAAGACAGGTTACTTTACAGCCATCCCTCTCTGTCTTGTAGTACTTCAGCAGCTTAATTTAATGAAAGGAGGGGTAAGGGAGAGCATTCTATTCTATTTGTATACGTTGTTATCATTGAAACATGACTAAATGTAGAGATCAAGGAAACATTTCATTCATTTGCATTCAGTGAGTTCTATTCTCAGCTCTACTCGGTAGAGCAGGACGTGCCAGACAGAGCAGCCAAGTGCAAACAGGCTGAGAAAGGAGTAGATACCAAATAAAACATATTTGGTTTTCCTTGGCAAATTTTTAATTGCATGCCACCCTGCTGCAGAGTACAGGTCATGACTGAGTTGATGGCAAGAAGGAGACTTTGTGGAGAGCTTTAAAGAAGAAATCTCCACAGCCTGGCAGTCTGATACTGTTTTTATACACTCGTACAAAGAGGAAAGGACTAAGTATGCAAAATAGCATTGAAGACTAAGATCGTTTTCTTTCATTACAGAACTCTCTACACCAAACGTTGTTACTATGTGTGCATACAGCCACACACAGGCATCCTGCTTTATTTAACAAAGTTGCCCAGACAAAACTCTGCTGACTTAAAGAGTTTCATCCCAGTAAGGATTCCTGGATTAGGCCACATTAACAATCATCAAATTTTCAGTGCAATTTTATGAAGTTAATTATAAAACAGTAGACTAAATCATCACTCAGAGAAAGATAAACAGTAGAGAAGTTTATAGTGTCTCGTAAACACATGACTGAGGCCCTTTTACATACTCTAGCAAATAAATAATAATGTAATACATATTTTTTTCTTATTCTGCAAATTAAATAATTCACGTGCATAACATCACCTCTTGTACGGAAACTAAACTTTCCAATATGACTGTCAATTTCTTGAATGCTTAATGGTAAGCTAGATGGAATGTATCTGCAATGAAAGCAAAATTATCTATAAACATGGAGTATGACACAGAAAGAAGCCGAACTGAGGATGAAAGGAAAATAGTGATAAATTCAGAAATACTCTTCATTTCTTTCCTCCTTTAAATTTAGAACACATAATGGAATTGGTCACTCTAGTCCCTAATTTAATGATATTAGGATGTTGCTCTAGTTTTCAGAAGCAGTTTTGTAAGAAAAAGAATATATGCTCATGATGTTTTGTGGTTGACTTTACAATGACTCATTAGCTCTTCCTAGATGAGCTTGGTCTAAACCAGTGAAAAATCTGCTTGTTCAGTTTAATCATGCCTTGTTTCAAGTATTAGTTCCTAAAGTGGTTTTTTTTGTGCTGCTGTGCTGTCTTCTGGGCTCTGATGTCCATCACTGCCCCAATTCAATTAGCAGCTGAAGTTTCCTTCCAGGTTGCTTGCAATTGTTGAACTTGTTTGGAACAGCCCAATTTTCACAGCGGGCTAGAGTGTAGGCAAGTGAATAGGATGCAAACAACAGCACGGGATTGCAGGTGGTATAGCACAGGTTGGAAGGGAGCCCTACTGCCCCTGTTAGCCATGGGGAACGACTGACAGGCTGCCCTCTCTGAATCGAGTAAGAGAATTCACAGGTTATTTCCTTTCTTCCTCATAAACCTTGATCTAAAAGACACACAAACACACATGCAAAAACCCGTGTATTTATGTATGTGTATCCACACACATATTTACCAACTCTTTAAAGAGTAAATCAAAGAAAATGTAAAATCTACTTGTTCCAGTCACCTTCCCCAGGGGAAAAGGGAAGATAACAAATAGCCTTTTCCTTGTGCAGAGATTGGGTCTAGTAGTCACTGAGTTGAAAAACAAAGATCAAAGATGCCACTTCATGAAGTGCAGTATAACTCTAGAACAAGCTTTCTTCATGCTCAGAATAAGGACCTTATTCACAACAGTTTTTGCGGTCCTGTTTTGCTACCTATGGGGTTTGGGGCAATCACTTTCGGGCCAGCCCCATTAGGCATCCCTCACTTTCATAGAAAATGCACTTTAGTCCCGAAATTGCCAGCGTTCCACACAAATTCAAAGTCTCCTCATTTCCACTGCTCAACAGTTTTAAATTAGCATCATTCCATCCCAGAGTCTATACAAAAAGGAGACAAATCATGCAGCATTTTACATTTTCTGCCTGAATAATTTTATGTATTTTACACATTGAATTTTTTGTGGCTTATATGTGAGCCTAAGCAGACTAAAGGCTTGATCTCATCCAATCTAAAGAGATTATGCCCTGTGAAACACAGAAAAAGCTCAGTCTACCTGTCAACACAGCTGTCATCTTCCAGGAGAGATGTAATGAATATTGGTGGGAGGTGGTCTGCTTTCTCCCTGTGAGATGCAGATTCGAAGTGCACGGGCCTCAGGTACAAATGGAACTCCCCAAAACCTGCTTCTATTGCAAAAGCCTTATAAAATCTAGAAACAAAAATACAGGGATGTATTTGAAAAATCAACTGTCTTCCTGCTGTAAGCAATTCATGTCTAGAAACCATCAGGCTCATTTCAATGAGACATCTGCATTCAACTTAAAACGTTTCTTGGCATCTGAAATACTATGATGGGTACGAAGCAAACAAGCATTGTACCCAGATAGCTGATGGTTGCTTAGTATCGCCCATTCGATTGACACAGACAAACAAAGGACAATAAGTTGTGAGTCTACAATGTTATAAGGGAAAATGAAGGGAAATATGTTAAATATTCCTATTTAGAAAGGACTGCATTTGGCAGAGAGATGAAGAACATTATTTTAGACTAGAAATTGGGAAGAGGACTGTCTGCCAGAGAGGAAGCTTCAATAGACAAGCAGAGCTCATACACATTATTACTACTAAAACAGTGACTTCATAGCTTAAGAAACATTTATTCTAGAAGCCCCCAGTATGACACAACCCCAGTACAACCTCCCCTATATAATAAATTATGAGGCAGTCCATCAGCAGACAGTAAACACATGGTCTAGATGCAACCACTAGCTCAGGAAATCTCTAAAGCACCAAGTGTCAGAAGCTGGGCACTGTCCTGCTTTTTGTAATCCCTCCGTATGGATCCATCACTGCCCTCCTTCAGATGCAAGACCACAGCAACACTGATCTGGCCTGTGATGGCTCTTCTCATATAGTGTAAGAAGATATGAAAGACACTGACTTTTTGATACAGACTGCAAAGGAATAAGACATTCCTTTGCTTCCTCCTAACATCTAAGGCAGGTGTTTTATCAGTCAAGAAATCAGGTGACAGAGAAGCTATGTTGTGAGAATGTGATAAAGACACAAACAGGACCTAGAAGACATAGCTCTTATTTCTTTAAAATCAGCTAGCATTCCCTGCCTGTAAAGTAAGGGAAAGAAAAGGGGAGGAGACAAAATAATATATAAAAGACATCATGAGCATCAATCAATAGTCATATGGAGCACAGCCAAAATCAACTCTAAGGTCTTAAAACAAAGAGCTCTTTGTAATTATTATAAATGTTGCTCTCTTAGTTGACCAGTATAGACAGACAAATAGCTTATACAGAACAGACATCAGCACACAAATCAGCTTATTAGTACTGTGTAAAGGGGAAAAATAGAGAAAAAGAAATATATGAAAAAGGTGACTGTGTCAAACAAAAACAGAAAGAAGCAAAATTCAGACTAAAGCTGCACTGTCTAGGTCTACTATTCTACCACAGGATGTCCCTTTTCATCAGATGGTAGAAGATGAATATTGAGGAACTGAGGACTGAGGAACACTGAGGAACGACAAGAAGCAGCAAGGCCTGTAAGGAACAGTGCATACAACATAAACATGTACTTTTTGATGTGAATGACTTTCCACTCCAGGAATGGAGAGACAGTCAAGTAATGGCAGTAATTCTGGCAGATCCTCCTCAAAAATCTGATGGAAGCTATGGTATGAGGCAGAGGAATCCATAAATGTAGGTGTACTCTCTTCATTTTACTCTACTTAGCAGGAAAAAAAGATTACTAACCTTTCTGATGTTTCAGTCTAAATCTGAGTCTCTAACTGTCCATATTACAATGATTTGTGAACTCCATCACATCTAAAGAAGATGTAAAAATAGCACCTCAAAATGTCATATTAAATAAACTATATAGGTTTATACTAGTATTTAGACTGACATAACCATCTTCTATTAAATTAAGATAACGTTATGCTTAATGGCCTTACGTGTGCATCATGAGGTCTTACTTTTTGTCATAACTTTCCACTGAATTCCCATCCTGTAAAATGACAATTTACTGCTATTTTTTCAGGGAATTCTAAGTATGTCACCTCAGATGAGTATGTCTTCTTAGCCCTGTACCCCAAAGAAATGCAGCCATGTGATGATGCGGTCTGCTCCTCTGTCTCCTCTGGATAACTTTTAAAGCAGTTGGTGAATATTAATGAAATCTGATACAGAGACAGGGCTTTCAAGATATTAAGTAAGTTCCTACAGGTTTAAGGAAAAAAAGGTGATTAGCTATTGATTTTTCAGCTAAGTGAAAAGTTGCGGTGTAACCTTACCCCTTATTAATTACCAGAAAATATATGTGTGTGTATGTATGTATGAGTGAAGGAACACAGGGATAACTCAACCAGTGGAAAAAGTTTAACTAGAATCTGTATTTTATTAGAAAGCTGAGTGTCCAAACGAGAAACACAAACTGCCAAGAAAGAAGACCTTCTTGCTTCATGGAATTGCTTGGGTTGAAGTAAATTAACCTGTTTGTTAGTTTGCCCAAGAAAGTTCCAGATATCAAATGATAGTTCACAAAGTTCTTATTTTAGTGGAAAAGAGTTGTGACAGAAAATCAGGTTTTCCACCAAGCTAACTTGAATGGTTGTGGCTCACATATCTTAAAGATGTCTAGGTTTTCAGCTGCTGAAAATAAATACTGCTGACTTTTTGATACAGACTCTAAATTTTCAAGAAGAAAGCTAGAGAAAGGGTTAAGACAAAAAAACCACGACTGGAATGTCATCTACCCTACACACCCAACTTTGCTATTGCAAGCAATCACATCCCACAAATCCTTTTCATAAATGAATCAAGCCCCATTTAAAAATTGTTGGTTTCCTACCCTTTGCTCTTTCCC